TCCATAAATCTATACCTTGCCACGTGGCTCATGGCTTACCGGAATCTTCACATGCTGCTTGTCATGGTGGTGGCTGGCAGTCTCTCCCTCTGCCTTCCTGTTCTTTCTTTTCTCCTCTCTGTTAGTCCCGCCTATACTTGCTGCATTTCTGAAATTGTGAGGAAGGGGCTGAGTGTTAGCTCAGTAAGTAGTTGCTGGACAAGCATGAGGACCCGAGTTCAGTTCCAAAAGGTCACATACAAAAAAAGCCAGTTACAGTGGCACAGACCTTTCATCTTGGCACCAGGGAGGCTGATCCCTCAGACTCACTGGCCAGCCGGCCAGCCTAGGCTACTTGATAAGTGCTAAGCCAACATGAGACCTTGTCTTAGAAAGAAAAACAAGGTAGATGGCATTTGTTGTCCGCTGGCATCCACACATGTACACTGCCTATGCATTCATGAACACATGCACACACACACAGATACATTTTAATAAGTATGTTGTGCACATGTGCGTGCGCGCGCGTGTGCGCGCGCGCGCACACACACACACACACACATAACTAAATAACATGAAACTTTGAGAAACATTAAAATTAGATTCTCAAATGTGTTCATACTAAAATAGTAGTTTCTGTTTCTTTGTCATGGTGTTGAAGATTGACAGAGGGTCTTTTAGTGCTGAATGATAGCTATTTTACCACAGAATTGTAGCCATAGCCCTTAAATATAGCTACTTATGCTAAAACGAAAGTTTCAGCATCTTTTGGAGAAAATGAAATCTCTGTGCTTGTTTTTGTAGACAGTGAGAACAGTTAAACTCTGGAGGAAGAAGAATATGGGAAGACTCCCTACTACAGCCCAAGACTTCCTGTTAAAGCTGCAGTCATAACGCAGTGGCAGGATGGCACAAACTCAGACATGGAAACCAGTGGGACAGAACAGCAAGACTGTAAGTTGTCAGAAGAATATACAAATGCTTCATTTCTGGTTTGTTTAGTTTGTTTTTTTGAGACAGGGTTTCTCTGTGAAACAGTCCTGACTGTCCTGGGACTCACTAAGTAGACCAGGTTAGCCTCAAACCCACAGAGATCCACCTGCCTCTGCCTCCCAAGTGCTGGGATTAAAGGCGTGCGCCACCACAGCCCGGCTCAAATGCTTCATATTTGATAGGATTTCATCACAAATGAGTATGGAGAGAAAGGCCTTTCAACACATAATATTAGGATGCCTGTATATTTATCAAGAAAATATGAAAACGGACCTCTAGCTTCATAGTGTTTTCATGCTAGGAAAGCACTCTATCTCCAGCCAATGCCCTTACATTTTACACAAAATAATTCCAAGTATATTGGAGAAATAAATGTGAAAGGGAAAACTAAGAATATATATTCAAAGAAGGATTTCTTTGGGGAAACACACAAATTACTGCAGAAAGAACAGACTAACAATGTGACAATATTATAGTTATCAAAAGAAAATATAAAGGCAATGACAAAGTGACCAAGTGAGGAAGACTGTGTCTTTTATGTACATAAAAGACCAAAGACTGAAGTTAGAAGAAATAACCACCATTAATAAATTTGAAAAAGTGACAAAATCCAACAGGTGTCCTTGAATAAATGATTCACAAAAGAATATATCCTAATGTCCACCAGGCATTTGAAAATATGCTCAACAGTATTAATAATCAGGAGTGTCAAAGCAGGAGACTTCATTTAACCTCCACTGGGTTGGAAAAATAATGTCAGGTAATACCAAATATTGGCCTGCAGGTGGCGCAACAGAAACTGTTAAACATGGATTGTAATGGTGGAAATTCGTGCATGGTTAGAAAATGTCAGGCAGCATGCAGTTAAATTGGAAGTGTGCACACTACACAAACTAGTATTTACATTCTTAGAAAAATATCCCAGAGACACCTGTGTTTATGTATGCAGATTGTAATTCTTTATGGCTGAATCATATTTTGTATATTTTTGCCTATATTAGCCCACTTGTATGTTGCTGTTAAATTCTAAATTTAACGAGTCTTTAAACCCATATTTATTAACTCCTTATTTTGTTGATCTCAAGTCCTAAAAGTAATTTTTCAAATATCATAAAAATGGATAGATTATCATCAAAAATGCAATATTAATGTTGACATTTAAATTCACAACACAATAATCACAGCTTTAAATTTTTCTGAAAAAATTTAAGTGGGAAGAAATTGGTAGGTCTATGTAATTTTACAACATTGCCTAGGTTTTTACGTGAACCATTTTTTTTAAAGCACATAAGTTATGCCACACTTTGGTTGTAAATCTTCATTTATAATTCCATAGCTTCGAATTTCAATGTACACGTTTAGAACTCAGGTATGCATAAAGTGATTAGAGTAAATTTAAACAATTACCACGAATTAGTCTTAAAATGTGTTATGTGAGTTTTCATTTTATAATATTTTGCAATCAGGATTGGCGGTGTAGCTCAGTTAAAGTGCTTGCCAAGCATATGCAAGGATTTATCTCCAGCACCACATAAATGGGGCATTGTGGTGCACACCTGCAACCTAGAACTTGGAAGATAGAGGCAGGAAGATCAGAAGTTTAAGGCTATCCTTTTCAATATAAGGAGTTCAAGGCTGGCCTGGGCTAGAGATCCTGGGTCAAAAATCATTTGGCAATAGCTACATTTTTATGCATTTATTTATTTGGGGGTTCTGGGGATATCCTTTAGGATGCTAGGTAAGGGCTCTACCACTCAACTATAGCCCTATAGAATTATCATAGAGATAAAAGATGGTCTTTTTAAAAGAACTTGAATATATGACTATTATAGCTAGAAACATTGAAAATGAATTATGGGCCAGGCAATGTGGTGTAGTCCTTTAATCCCAGCACTTGGGAAGCAGAGGCAGGCAGACCTCTGAGTTTGAAGCCAGCCTGATCTATAGAGCAAGTTCCAGGACAGCCAGGGCTACAGAGAGAAGCGCTGTCCAAAACAAACAAACAAAAGTAAATGTATGCAATTCTCAGTCTAGGAAAAATATTTCTCTGTGTATAGACAGAATGCACGCTCATATAATATAGCAAATGAGATAAGGTGTTAATAGGTTGACCTGAGTATAGGATATATAGATGTCCTTTAACCATTATTAATGAAAATTATCTATAAGCTCAAATTTATTTCTAATAAATTGTTAGAAAGAAGAAAAGGATATGGATTGACACAGTGACATTGGCGAATTCACAGTGTACGTGGAGATAAATGCATCGTTTGGATAAAAATATGGGGGAATGGTGCTCATTAGTGCTCTTCAGCTAGTTACACATCTTTATGAACAATATTTTCTCCTGGAAGTTAGACATAAGCATAACTAGCTACTATTCTAATTTTTCTTTCTTTGAGTATGTATTATACTTTTTTGAGTGGACACGCATTGACATCCATCAGTATCCATGGGGATTTGGTTCCAGTATTCTCTGGGAATATCAAAACCAGTTACTGCTGAAGTCCTTTATTGTTTAAAAATTGTGTAATTCTATTTGCATGAAACTTCCCAACTAATATATTTTATCGTTTTATTTTTATTTGGGTTCATTTTTTATTTTGTGGAGAAGGGGGAGGACTTGTCACAACCTTATGCAGCCCAGGCTGTCCTGGAACTGTGTAGCCTATGGTTCCCTCAAACTCCTTATCCTCCCACTGCCATGTCTCTAGTAAGGATTACAGATAGATGCCACCATGCCCTGCTCTATCCCATGTATTTTAAGTCATTTCTAGTTCATTTATAGTATCTAATACAGGTTAAGTGCTCTGTAAATGATTGTTATACTGTGTTGTTTGAATGAATAACAAGCCAAAAAGTTGTACATGTTCAATACATATGTATGTTGTGTGAATATGTATTGCTGTGAATATGTATTGCTCTGATTGGTTAATAAATAAAGCTGTTTGGCCTATGGCAAGTCAGGTTATAGCTAGTTGGGAAACTGAAGAGAGAGACAGGAAGAAGAAAGGCAGAGAGGTAGAAGAGACACCAGCACTTCGAGGAGAAGCAAGATGTGAAAATACCAGTAAGCCATGGCCACGTGGCAACTTACAGATAAATAGAAATGGGTTAAGTTATAAGAGCTAGCCAGTGAGAAGCCTGCCATAGGCCATACAAGTTAATAATTAATATTAAGCCTCGGAGTGATTATTTTATAAGCAGCTTCAGGACCTCAGGCTTGGCAGGACAGGACAAACCTTCCGGCTACATATGTAATCCCCCAAAATATTTTTGGCCTTAGTTATTAAATACAAGGATGCAGAATCTGCAGGTAGGAAAGTCTAACAACATTGTCCCTGCCCACCCACATCTATTGTGTGGAAGTTCATCTACAGCACTTCAGGAGGCCGTTTTCTGTTAACATTCTCAGCAAAGACTAGCATTCTCATGGCCTAACAAGCCTATATTTAATGCCTGTAGTAGTCTGATGAATTTTGATCCCTAGACATTTGGGTCATTATAAAGGACAACTTTAGTTCAGTGAGGAAGTGCAGGTCGAGGAATTTATCATGATATCACATATAAACCAAGAACTGCAACACATGCCATCTTGGAAATACTAAAAATTCTAGAGATAAAAGGGGTAGGAGAGCTATGCAATGTGATTCTGCTTGTAAAATTTTGGTGCTAATGTTATAATAGCGAGCATGTTGTAAATAACACAAACTCACCAAATATTCTGGTTGAACATAATTTTATTATTATTGTTACTGTTATCATTGGCATCATCATTAGCACAAAACTAAATCCACTATTAAAAGAAAACAAACACATCCCAAAGGCATGTGTCTTGTTGACAATGAGTCAGTAACATTATCTTCATGTAATAGGGATAGCACCCTGAGGATATAGACCATATCACAGCTTGATAATCAATGCAATAATTCACCAACTTTATTGAGCACCGAGGCACAATGGAGGATTTAAAAATGCATACAAGAATCCCTGCTTTCAAGAAGTTTACAGTCTAGTAGGAGGTATTGAAGAACAGCAGGAACATGGGGCCACATGGGATCAGTGACATAATGGAATCAGTGCATGTTGATGAACTGCTGGAAGGGGTATCACAAAACTTATGTCACATTCAGGTGGGGGAATATAGAGAAGGGGCTCCGTACAGACAGTAGCAATGGAGCTGGACTTTTGGAAATTGGAGGCCTTTTAGTGTGTGGGGAGGGCAGTTCCTGTAGAGAGACAGTGTGGGCCAGAGTATGGCCATGGGTGAGATCTTGGAATGTCTGGGGAGAGAAAAGCACTGCATTTGGCTAGCCTATGCAGTCCACAATATGCAGAAAGTTATATGGGGTCCATATTGGCAATGGCTCTGAATGACAGGCTAAGATCATTATGCTGTGGTTACTATATAGTTGTCCACATCAACAAAATTAGCAGTTAATTGTGAAGAGATATGGTCATGTTAGTTCCTGATTTCTTATGGAAACTTAAATGGTTTGCAGGCAACATAATCACTTTACTATCTATAAAAAAATAGTTCTAACAGATAACAACAAACCATCTACAATAATATTTTTCTCTATTTGGCATGTGATTAAATTAATTTAATCTCTTACTTCAAAGCCTTTATTCGTTCTATCCAGGCACCAAATCTCCTCATTCCCATCTCCATCATCATCATCAGTTCCTGTGGTACCAGATGGTTGACGTGAACCTAATCTAGGGTTTGTAATCAGAGCAGGTACCCCGAAAGTGGAACCCATGGCTTGAAGTAAGAGTGGCTGTGGTAGAGGCAGTGAGCAATGTCAGGAAAATATAGGCATCTCTCAAGTTTTCCTCCAAGTCTACTACAAGTTCATTGAAATTGGAGTTCCACTTGGTTTGGTCAGAAGGACATGTAGAAAGATCTCAGACTCACAGTACCCAAGTAGGGTCTTCTTTAAAAATATCCGCTTACTAAAAAAAAAAAAAAAAAAAAAAAAAAAAATCCTTAAAGGAATTATATTTAATCTGGGCTACAGCTTATTTAAAGGCTCCAGGTTCTGAGGCTACTGAAGCTGAGTATAGACTAGGGAGCTGTTCCTTCTTTGACTAAAGGAATCTGCTAGGCTTTGTCTGTGACTAACAGGTGAAAAGTTAGGAGCTTCTCCCATGCAGCAACAGATTATAGATACTAAGTAACGGTTGTATTAGGGAACCGAGCCAAAGAAATATACTATACACAGCCAGTGAGTGAAGACTTAGAACAAAGATGCCATGGTCACACTTCATTTAGTCAGTCTTTCATCTCTTTCTTGGTGTGAGCCTTTCTCTGCAAGAAGTCATGAATAGCAGTAGTAAGCCCCCAGGTCACACTGGACCTGAGAATGATCAGTGATCCTCCTCTATAAATCAGGAGTATCTTTCGACCTCGAGTGTCCCACACATCTTGTGCAGAGGCCCACAGGCTTGGCATTCTCTGCCAGCCAATATGAGACTGCATATTGGCAACCAGCACAATCAGAGGATACAGAACCAGGCAGGTGATCGTTCCATTGACACTACCAGACACCAAAGCAGGAACCCAATGGGGCAGGCCTTGCCTTGTCAACACATCCTGGATAGGATCCTTGAAGGAGAAATAGAGAGCACTTCCGAGGCTGTTTCTGACAAGGACCGGCCAGAAACCACGATAATAGCCCAGTGACAGCCGCCCCCAAAGCCCATATGAATTGAATTCCTTGAGAATGCTGGAGGTGCTAGGGAAGCAAGCTTGCTTGCGAGCATCCTGAAGCACATTTTGTACCCTTTCAAAGGGGCTGAGTGCCACAGCTTCTACCACACCAGACATGAGCCCTGCAGTCCAGCGCTGTCCGAGGGAGTGTGGTCCCACAGGGGAGAGAAAGCACAGCAGACTATCGTAAGTACCAAACAACAGAGTCCCTTGCAGGGTCTTGGAGAGAAGAGGGGGGTAGATGCCCCGGTAGAAGTACTGAGGGCCTTCATGCCAAAGCTGTCTCACAGCCTCTGACACTGCCATAGCATGGATCTGCTGCCGGAACACAACCTTATAGATAGGAAAGGTCAGAAAAGTAGACATAAAGTTGGAAATGGCCCCAAGGGTGTAGGCCTGTGAGTGCCAGATTTTCTTTCCTGGAACTTCTGCTCGTGTCCTGTGTTGAAGCTCCTTCCCAGCAGAGTTGTTCTGCTCCTCCATGCTGAGGACAACTGGATGCAGATGGAAGAAACTAGCAAAAGGAGACAAGAAGTTAGGCTGACCATTTCCATGCCTTCGCAAGTGTTTTCCTGGTTTGGGCTGACACAGAACCATGGGAAACTCACATGTCAGGAAATACTTTTGAAAGTTCCTAAGAACAGACATGCCATTAGGAAATCAATAATTCATCAACCTTAAATCAAAACTTTACTTGATTTCCCTTGACAGTCACCACTGTGGTATTTGGTGACACAATAAAATTCAAACATTCAAAAAATTATGGCTGAAAACCATAGAAAGGGAGAAAGAGGGCTTAAAAACCCACTGCATTATATTTTTCCACAAAACTTTGCATTTTAAAAATGTGCATTTGTGCTTGCATGTGTGCCTGGGCATGTGCACCCACCCAAGAGGCCAGAAGAGGACACTGGAATTCCTGGAGTTACAGCCACTTTGAGTCACCTGACATGGGGCTAAGAACTGAACCTTGGTCTTCTGCTGAGCTGTTTGTTGCTCCATCCCCAAACTTTGCACTTTATCATCTACTAGATAAGTAAGTTGTTTCTCTCTTTCCAAAACTACTTTTTGCTATGCCACAGGTTGAACCCAGGCCTTATGTGTGCAAGGCAAGTGTACAACCGTACAACCAGACTCACAGGCTCCACCCCACAACGTTTTTGGGGTGTGTGTGTGTGTGTGTGTGTGTGTGTGTGTGTGGTATATTTATGTTAGTGTTCATGTGTATGTGTGTGCGCCTGCATGTGTACACTTGTAGAGGCTCGAAATTGATGCTGGTTGTCTTCTACAGGTCTCCAACTTATTTTTGAGATAGGGTATGTCTCTGAACCTGGATCACACCAATTGGCAACAATAGCTTACCAGAGATGGTTCTGTCATTGCCTTCCCAGCACTAGGTAGGATACATGCATGTGCCACCATGCCTGGCATGTTTATGTGGGTACTAGAGATCCAAGCTTGGATCCCCACTTTTTCAGAACAAGCCCTCTCCCCATCCAAACATTTTTAAGGTGGTAGAAAGTTACAGTACAAAGCTTTCTTTCCAAGTTGGTTGTGAATTTGGGCGCGAGAACCTCCTCCCACCTGCCACTCTAAAACCCTGCACAAACTATAGCTGTCTCATGACAACACCCTACTCCCCACTAACTGGAGGAAGGAAAGAGCAGCTAGCTGCTTCTGGAAGTTCCATGTGACGTGGCTCAGTACCTGGCAATTTTCAAACTTTATCTTTTATATGTATAGCTACAGAATACAGCGGGGCTTCTCATTTTGAGCTCTGCTGTCATTTGAGGCAAGAGAATTCTTTGTATTAGTGTCTGTCTTAGCCGCTGAAGGATGTGGATCACTGTTCCTGGCTACTACTCACTGCATACCAGAAGCACCAGTCATGATCCACATATGTGATAATCAAAATAGCATCATCAGGGGATGTAGGTCAGTGGAGGGAGTGCTTTCTCACTGTCCATGAAGGCCTGTGTTTGATCTCCAAAACTGTACATAATGTTGCATGTAGTGTAACCCATCCCTTAGGAAGTGAAGACAGGAGGATGAGAAGTTCAAGGCCATCCTCAACTACTTACCAAGTTCAACCAGGGAAACAGAAGACCTCACTTAAGAAATCTTAAGACATGGAGAAGCAGCATTAGAAGCAGTGTGGAGGCCAAGACACAGAAGAAACGTTACAATCAAGATGGAAACCAGAGCTGGATGTGGTAGCACGTACCTGTAGTCTGAGTTACAAGGGAGGGTGAGCTAGGAGGATCACACTTGAAACTGAATTTCAAAAGCTGCCTGAGAAACAAGGGAAACCTTGTCAGGAAAGACAGAAGAAGGAAAGGAAGAGTGGGGAAGGAACGGAGGGGAGGAGGGGGGTCGATAGCGGGGAGGATAGGTTGGGACGAATCTGAAAAGAGAGAGCGTGCAGCTGTGGCAGCTGGCATGTCAGGGAGAGGAAGCACACATCTGGCCAGGTAGAAACAAGGACACAGAGAGCTCATGCTGATCAGGAGGGAAGGCAGGCAGAAACAGGAAGTCTAGTAACAATACAGCAAGTTTCACACAGAACTTAGGTCACTGTGGTCTGTGGCTGAGACTCGGGTTATGTTAGTAGGCTCTCTGGCCCACTCGATGGGGACAATGGGAGCTCAGGCCAAGGCCCCGAGTGAGGAGTAGGGGTCAGCTGCTACATGCAACCTATGCAGGCTTCTCTGGGATGCTGCACTCACAACTTGCCTTCCAGTGCTTCTGCTAGAATCACCCTACTTGGCTCTGCTTGGTTCTGGTCTCTGGTCCTGTATCACCTCCCCCCCCCCATATCATCTTCATCCCCTTTGCTGAAGCCACACTCTTTCTTTTCTTTTGTTTTTTGTTTTTCAAGACAGGGTTTCTTTTTGTAGCTTTGCGCCTTTCCTGGATCTCACTCTGTAGCCCAGGCTGGCCTCAAACTCACAGAGATCCTCCTGGCTCTGCCTCCCCCTGAGTGCTGGGATTAAAGGCATGTGCCACCACCGCCTGGCTGCCACACTCATTTCTTGATGATGAAGGAAGAGTTAACCGTCTTTGCTCTGCCCATTATTGTAGCTGGAGTTTTCTGGTCCTGCCTGGCCCACGATCAGGACAAATCTCTCTCACCCTCCAGTCCTGCAGCCGCTTAGACCCAACCAACTAAACACACAGAGACTTATATTGCTTACAAACTGTATGGCCACAGCAGACTTCTTGTTATCTAGTTCTTCTATCTTAAACCAACCCATTTCTATTCATCTATAAGTTGCCACGTGGCTCATGGCTTACCAGTATCTTAACATCTTCTCATGGTGGTGGCTGGCAGCATCTCTCTGCCTCAGCCTTCCACTTCTCAGAAATCTCCTCTCTCCTTGTCTCACCTATATTTCCTGCCTGGCTACTGGCCAATCAGTGTTTTATTTATTAACCAATCAGAGCAACACATTTAACATACAGAACATCGACATCACATTACCACCTCCCCTGCTCCAGCACTTCATGTTATCCAAAAGCCTCAGCTTCCTTAACTTTCAAGACCAGGAGGAGGGTAGAAAGGGCTTGTGTTCCTGGGATCCTTTGGCTGAGAACTTGCCAGGGGCAAAGGATCAAGGGGCCCATTTATTGCATCCTTCTGGAATAATTCTGGGCTTCTCACACTCACTTCCGTATCTCAGGAGCTAAAGTGGGGGTGGGTGGGGGCTACTCCCCTACCTTTTCCTGCCTAGGTCACTCAGACATCGACAGCTAGAGGAGCCTGGAACATTTCACAGCTCTCCCTTCCAAATCTTACCTTGGCCTTAACAAGGGATGGAATAAAGAGTCTGCACATCTAACGCTGAGTTCAATAACACACCAGTGCCTGCCCTCCTTTTTATAAAGAGCTGTTCATCCACTCCATAAGGCAGTCTGACTTAGTAGAAGGAAAATGGTTTGGCACAACCATATCATAAACCCTGGTTCTGGTATTAACATTTTATATGACTTTAGAAATTTCATGACCTCTTGGAGCCTCTTTTACTTTAGTTATAGAATTATCAGGCACGGAAAATTGTTCTGTAGTCATCCCCAAAATTGACTATGGGAGGGTTTTGTTTTGTTTTTTACCTCTGGCTGATAATGAAGCTGCTCTTTTGTACCACCTATTCCTCTTACCATTTATGTAATCGATTTTGGGGGGTTAAAAGTGAACAGTAATTTAGAGGCACCTTACCTTAAACATCTCATACAACCTTTTATAAATCTATCTGTATTCTACACAGGGAAGAAAGTTCATATTTTTCTTGTGGATTTTTCTTTGAAGACACTTTGGAGGACAAATCTAGAAGTGAATTCTGCCTCCACCACTTTCTTAGCTGTGTGATCTGGGGAAAGGCAGGAATATCACTGTCTCACATCCTTCTGCTACAAAGCGGTGACAAAAAGGTCTAACACAGAAGGCTGTTGTAAAGATTGGTGACATAAAATGCGACAACGTTGCTGAAAATTAGGACTTGGTGACTTTAATTTTCAAAGGTATCAAAAAAGATTATCCCCAACCTCATTATCTGTCTTCACAGAGCACATGTTCCTGAAGACCAGCTACAGCCAGATGAAGTGGTATGCTCGAACTTATCCGCTGTCCCTGTGGGAGCCTGGGGAGGTCTTTCTTCTATGAATTCTAAGCTTCAACAGAATCCTCCAGGAGAGCCTGGCCCCCTAACATTAATTTCAAAGTATGGGATGAAGAGTGGGCTTGGAGCCTGCCTTGAGCAGCTGTCAGCTAAACCTATGATCTGTCTCCTGTGTCTACAAACCTAATCAACCGAGCAGACGACAACCAAGACTTCCCAGGCTAGTCTAGTGGAGATGGGGATCAGAGGTGGGCATCCTAAGACTCAGTCCTACCTCTATCTGTTCATTTGGGGGAATTCTCAGCCAGTCCTTTGCTCAGTTGCACATATTGATCACCTTTCAAGTCATTGTTAAATCACTATGGACTTGAAGATGGATAGGATTTGGTGCCTGTCTTCAAGGACACAGGAGTTTAGTGGGGTAGACACTAGAAAACAAAGCAAAAATAATCACAGTCAAAGAAGAAAGATAAGGACAATTTATTTTGTCCAGGACAGGGAAAACTCAACCCTGGCAAGGATGTGGAGAAAAGACAACCATTATATACTCTTTATGGGAATATAAATTAGCATAGGAACTATGCATATCAGTATGAAGGCTCTTCAAAAAAGTCAAAATAGGGGCTCAGAGGTTAAGAGCACTGGCTTCTCTTCCAGAGGTCCTGAGTTCAATACCCAGCAACCACATGGTGGCTAACAACCATCTGTAATGGAATCTGGTGCTTCCTTCTGGTGTGCAGGCATACATGCAGACAAAACACTGTCTACATAGTAAATAAATTTTTTTTTTTAAAAAAAGTCAAAATAGATAAAGCCAATAGTTCAGCTATTCCACTCCTGATATATACCTGGAAAACATAAAATAGGCCTACAAAAGAGACACCTGAATTGTCAAGTTTGTTGCCACACTATCCACAATGATTATTACAGAATCAGTCTTAGTGCCCATTAACAAATGGATAATGGAAATGAGGTACACAGATTAGTACAGTGGAGTATTATTCAGTCATAAAGAGTGAAATCTGTCATCTGCAGCAGAATGGAAGGGCCTGGATGCTACCATGTTAAGTGAAATTAGGAACAGGAAGTCAAATACAGCATGCTCTTTTTATATGTGGAAACTTAAAAATTGTAGATCTGAAAGTAGAAGAGCAATTACTAGGGATTGGGAAGGTAAGAGGGCATAAGAAGGATGGTTCAAAATGATTGGTGCAGGTTGCATTCATATAAGGCAACATTACACTGACCTCACTCAAATGCTGGAGATCTACAAAAGTTAGGAGTCACTCTCTCCATAGGATTTTTAAGACTTTCCAGCGCACTGAAATGTGCAATTAACATGTGTTAATAAAAATGTTCTCAGGAAAAATGTGACACAGTCCTTAAATAAGTCATGTCTTGTTAGGTGGAGGAATGGAAACAAGTGTTTTGGACTGAGGAAGAGATCTGAAGGAGGGAAATGAATGTTGATAGGGGCAGGTTCTCCTAGAACATCATGTTTAGGCTTTGCATTCATAGAAGAAGACCTTCCCTGGCTCCCATAAGAACTCTGGATGTATTCCTGCATGCCACTTCTCTGGTTTTGACTAATCTTCAGGAATATATACTCTGTGAAGACAGAACTGCCCATGGCAGTGGTGGTAGTGAAAAACAAAACAATAACAAAATAAAACAAACAAAAAAACCAGATATAGCAGAGGCTAACAGAAAATAGTCATAACGATTGCCACATTTATTTTCTTCACTGATGTATGTTGTAGAGAACAAAACACTGGAGTCAGACAACACTCTGTTTGAATTCTGCTCTGCCATTCCTTAGTTTTATGACCTTGACTGATTCTCTTCAACTCTCTGAACCTTACTATCATTATTGTTTTATATTTCTTTATTATTTTGGGAAGACGTGGTGGCAGCTAAGATCAAATTATGACAAAATTGCTAACATGTTCTAGTGGCTGTATTAGGATCTTTATTGTATTAGGATGGTTTCTTTTATCCTTTTTTTAGTCTTAGGGACCAAAATCAGGGTTTCGTTTTGTTTTTTACATACTAAGAAAATAATCTGCCACTGAACTGCATAGCTAGCCCTGCAGGATGCATTTATGCTTTGCCCGTCAACATGGCAAAGGAAAGTATTCATAGGTTTGACTAATCTTCAGGAATATATAGAGGTTGGCAGCCCTGGGCTAGCATCCCACTGGTTCCACTCCCAAGTAGTATGGCCTCACAGAAGCTACTTCACCTCTTTGAAACACGCACTTCTCTTCTTTGAAAAATGGTACGCCGTGATGCCTGTGTCAGCAGGGCTGCTGGGAAGTTTAAATGAGATAACAGATGGAAAGTTCCTGGCATAGAGGAGGTCTGCTGCCAAAAGTAGCCACTATTATTTCATCTGAAAGCTTTACCTCCTAACCTTCGAGCTTTTAAGGTTCACTTGTCAAAATTGGAAAATGTGGCCTCATTAGAACTATCCTTTGGTGCACACTCTCGTGGCCAAAGATAGGAGATGTTCTGTATCCCAATGGACCTTGCTGGTAACTTTGCTCTAAAACGTTCTTGCTTCAACATCTAAACCTATACACAATCCATTCTTTTCATTTTTTAAAATCCAAACTCTCAGGTCTATCCTTAGTTTCTTGATCCTACCCACCAGGTCCAACATAATATTTACTTTGGTGATGAAGCTAATGGAAACACAGAACAAGTGTCTGCTGTGGGGTTGTGGTCTAACAATATGGTTCTAGGAAACAGAAGCAAGAGTATGAAGAACGCCCACCAGTTACTCCTAGACCCACCCCTAACTCTACAAGGTGAGCTACCTGCCTCCTATATGCCTTCACCACTCTCTACTTTCCATCACCTCTACCCCACTGTCCCATCCCCCAAAGAAGGACCACAGTGGAGGATTATACTATACGAATGATGCTTCCTTCCAAATTTGGATTGCTTATGACAAGTCTAGTCATTACGGTTGTAAATAAGAAGGCAGACAGGAACAGGTAAAATACCTTAGCAGGTTGAAGATGAAGCCAACAGCAATTGCAGGGTTTCAAACCGTTCCTGTGCTTCCAAGCATCAGGAGTTGATAGCAAACCCTGCCTAGGGGGCCTTCTAGCCACCCACCAGCTACACAGAGAAGTGATACCTGTTGTCTAGGAACCAGAAGGCAAGGGAAATGGAGCAGGTTTTCTAGCCTCTAGCTTCACGGCCCATTCACTCTGGACAGCCTTGCATGCCGTTTCCATGGAGTTGCTCCTTCTTTAGGGCCAGTGATGCCAAAGCCAGCAAAGGAGAAGTCCCCTGAAGAGCTCGCAGAAGGGCAGCCTAGCAACCTATCCTTGAGCCAGGAAATGAAAGAGCTATATCAGCGGCTGAGAGCTGTGGTGTGGGTTAGGTCAAATGGTGTTTTGTTTCTAACACTTCTTCCTCAAGCAGGTGTTGAAAGGGAAGATGTTTTGAAGATTGTAGGGCAGTGGTTCTTAACTGTTTGGGGGCCACGGGCCCATCTGAAAATTCACAGAGTGATGGCATCAGAAAGAAGCGTTCAAATCCTTTGCATGCAATTTCAAGAAGGATTTGAGGTAGGGACTTCTGAGTTTCATACAAATAGGCTATGGACAAACATTTAAGTGGCAGGCCCATTTTTTGGATAGCCTTCAGTATGGTGTGCTGTTTAGAACAGTGGTTCCCAGACTCTCTACAACCCAGAATCAATTATAGCAACAGGTAAAATACAAATGACAGTTTTCACCCCCAGTCCCAGGAAAGCCAAATCCCCAGAACTGGAGGCCAGGAATGTGAATTTCTAACAAGCCCTCAAAAATCATTCTGTGATAGCCAGCTGGCCACCCATACTTTAGTTTGTAGCATGAATTCTGGACTGAAAGCTCTGGCTTCACCCTGTGATTTTAGACAAGTCATCTCTGAGTCTGATTTCCTTTGGGGGTCCTAGAGAAGTGCTGATATATTTATAAACAGGTGGTTTATTTTTGTGTAAAAAATGTGAGCAGAAAACTGCCTCAGTTTCCTCCTTGGTATAATGCATATCATGAAGGTTGCCTTCCTCTTCTTTTCCATCTCTTCTCACTCCCCTCCTCAGCACCACTGTCACCTTAGCAAAGCTGCGGAGATCGTCTGTGGGTATGTATGTAAGAGTGAACATGCGCTCTCTGGGCAGACAAGCAGGGCAAAGTGTTGGCATCAACAGAGAGGAAAACGCTGCCATCAACAGAACAACAGAGCAGGTAGCAAAATCCGACGCTATTAGCTTATTTGCTGCATGATACAGGACAAGATGCCCAAGCTCATGGTGGCTCAGTTTTCTCATCCGTAAGTTGTAGACAACAGTTCATTAATTTTAGATAGCCCTAAACGGGTCCTTTCATCCTCATTTTGCCTTTTGTCCACTAACCCTTAATCTGACACCAGAGAGGGGTTAGACGCCTGGGCTTGAGTGTGAGCTGTTAATTCTGTACTTCCTACCCACACTGCCTAGGTGCTTACATCCCCCTCTCTGTTAAATGGGCACAGTGCGACGTTTTATCACAAGACTGGTGAGAAGAATAAATGAGATGTCTGTGCAAACGCGCTGGCACACAGAAAGCGCTCAGCAAATGCTACCCTCTTCCCCCTATACAAAGGTGAAGAACTCTCATTGTTCACTTGCTTTCGGTCCCACCTCGTGTTTAAGTCATCGGGTCGCAAAGCAGCGGAGGAGAGCCAAGGCAGAAGGCGATAGGAAGAAGGGAAGAGAGGGGAAGCTGCAAACTCACGAATGAAATGTAAATGGGCCAGGTCCGTGAGTCCGAGCTGCACTTGACGCCGCGCCCGCTCCCGCGCCAGTCTGCCGCAGCCCCCTCCAGCAGGTTCCCCCCTCTGGCAGGCATTAGCATCCTGGCCCAGGCTTTGCGGGGAGGCCGCCCCCGCGCGCCGCTGATTGGCCGCGCCACTGCTCTCGTCACGCTCTTTTGTCTCAATGGGCAGAGTCTAAAAGCAGCCACTGCAGCTCTGCAGGCTGAACTGGAGAGCGGGCGGGGGCAGCTGCAGCTGCCTTGGAAACCGCGGCGACGACTGCGTTATCCCTGGCTGGGCAGCCCAGCGCCATTGGGTAGCCTAGACAGCTCAGTGGCTGAGGCGCCATCCTTTCTCTGCAGGGCCTAAGAAACGACACAGCTATTCCTGGCGCAGGATCATCCATCCGCCGTTCTTCTTCGGAGTCCAGGTAAAGAAAGGGAGGCGCAACCGCATAATGTGGAGATGGGAGGATAAAACCTTACCATTTGGGGCTTCAGAACAGGCAATTTCGAGGCAAGGAGGCGAACACCCTAGTGCTCGTGGGAGGAGGTGAGCTAAGGGTAGGATTTGCCCTGATTGGAAAGAGGGCTCCCCCCCCCACCCCCGGGAAGGTAGCAAAGGGCAGAGGGGAAAATTCACAATTGGTCTGTTCTGAAGTCCCTTTTCTCTCAGTTCTTCGGGGATAGATACGGAGGTGGGAGGGTATCCAACCTCTCTTCTTTTTCTCCATGGCAGCCCATCAAAGCCGATTGCAAACTTGAATTCTGTGTGGCTGATTGCGGAACTGGTAGGCCGCTGGTTTCCCGGGTGAAGCGTATTGGGGGAGGGGTGGGCCCTTTGGCTTTTATTCTGTACGGTTTTTCCTCCTGGCAACAATGGAGTCGCTGAAGGAAGGATGAGACAGCTTCTGACGTCTCAGGCCCTCCTTCTCTTCCCTTCCCTTTGCTGTGGCGCAGTCTAACCTAGAGGTTCAGAGGACCCGGATCTGAGAGGCCTGTGGACAGAGATCAACCCTACCCAGGACCAGAACTCCCACGAAAAGCACCTGTTGCAGAGGCTGAATTAAATAAAGGTGAAGGCCAGCTTTCGAGCTCCGGTAAGAATCAAAAAAGGGGGAGGGGAGCGTTGTGACCTAATATCTTTTCAGGCCTTACTCATTAACATAATTCTGTGAGGCTTACTCTATTGCCCTCTATTTTGGGAGCCTAGTATGGGCTCCAGCCGCTATTGCAGCCAGAATTCCAAGCAACAGTTGCTGCCTCTCCCAGAGAACAGGCAGTGAGTAAGGGGGAGGGGGAGGAGGTACAGTGGCGAGGGAGTAAATGTGGCTCAGACAAAGGCCTCACTAGCACAGAGAAACCTTATTGCTTCTCAAGGTTGTAAGTGCCAGTTTCCTGCTGAGTAGTTTTAGGGCACTGGGCAAATATACAAGACTGTAGAAAATGTGATTAGACGCTTCTTTCCAATCACTGTGGTTTTGAGCTTTTTTTTTTTTTTTTTCTTTTACAGTTCCTACCCAAACCCGAGGGAGATACTGCCCAGGAACGTTGCTGCCCATTGCGCTGGTTCACAGAGAGCCCAAGCATCTTGTATTCCGATATCCAATTGTTGTCAGACATGGCTAGCATCCTTGCTCGGATGGGCAACAGCCGAAGGCAGAATACAGCTTTTCTGCCTTTGGCCCATTCCATGCTGAGGGCCCTGGGGAGGAGTCTCGGTCCTTTGAT